CATCTGTAGTTAGGCCTGTCACGATAACAACTTTTTGTTGTGCGATATATTGCCCCAGAAATAATTGCGATAAGCCATATTATTGTAATTTTAAATACCGTTTTATGCCACTGAATATATAATCATAATGTAACAGCATAATAATGCAAGAAGGCCAAAACACTTCCAAATGCGATAAGTCGATATATTGATTATTGCGACAGGCCTATCTGTAGTACCTCTGCCTTTCCTCCATCCCCTAAAGTCCCTTTTTTTTTTAATACCGTTGTCACCGTAATGGGCACATACACTACAGTGCCAATATCAGATGTACTTCTGATGTAGATGATCACAAGTAAAAGCGTGCACCAGACAAGAACAACATCAGCTGTGGGTTGGGTGTTACTAAACAGGAAGCTAAACGCAGACAGTTCCTTCAGCTATCACACTCCTTTACCTCAGAAATTCTCTCACTCACACTTTCTGTATCTCTCCAGACTTCTTTGCATTCCAGCTGTCGCCACACCAACGGGTGATGATAACCGTAAAATGCTATTTGAAGGCTGACACAACAACCAAGGGGCAGCTAGATTAAAAGTTTAGGAAATGATGTTTGAACCTTATAAAAAGTCTTTCAGTCAGCTTTTGGCAATTTGTCTAAAACGAAAGTTTGGCATTAGTTTGCCCTTTCCTCACAAGCTTTGATTCACACAGAGTCAAGGCAAAATTGCTGTCCAGTTTTCACCTGGCACTGAAAAGCAAGAAAATGTTAAGAAAAAACAATGTTAATGAGGCAAACGTCTTCATGATGCAGTCACCTGAGGTACTGCTAGGAAACGGAGCCAAATTCTATGAAATATGCACAGGAAAAGGGCTATGAAAATGTCAAAATTTGCATCCTCTGATAAAAGAATGTGTATACTTCCCCACTGACACACAGACAGTCATAAAACAACTTTAGTGGTCACTGTACCCATCTAATTTTCCAAGCAGATTTGGATCATAAACCAACTTCATACACACACACACACACACACACACTAGGCCTCCGATCACAAATGAGGCCCCAGAGGCTTTGATGAGCGCTTGTGTCAGATAGGAAGGATAACGGCAATCAGAGGATTGTGGCACCAGTAGCTGAGTGACACTAGAGGACAGAGGTCCCAGTCTGCCTTCAGCACACCGACAAACACTCGTTCACAGGCCCACTTAACCACAAAGTCAGTCACACAGTGTCATAGCAGCTACATTGTTATTGCCCTTGACCAGCAGCCAGTGACGCATTCTAAACAATCACTCTCCAGAACAGAGTGCAATGCTGCAGAACAAAGTTTACTGTGATCAAAAATATCAAAAAGCATGTCATATTACCAAACTGGTAAACAAAAAGAAAAATGGATCCTAGAAAAGGGACTGGGGATTTCTTCAGAACAAGTGTTTAATATCATAATAGAATTTGGATTTTGGTTTAGTTTTGCTTTGATAAAAATAACATTCAGCAATATCCAAAAAAGTCTTACTCACCCTGAAATTTTAAAGCTTCAATCATCTCCTCATTCATTTTGATTACATTGAAAGAATGACTAGTACATTCTTCAAAACCTCTCCTTTTGTGTTTTAGAAGAAAGTCATAAAGATTTGGAACAACATGAGGGGAAGTGATGACAGTTTTCATTTTTGAATGAACTAATCTTTAATGAGCAAAATTAGATATTGTTTTTGTTTGCATGAGAACACTGAGGGGAGAGGGACAGCTAAAGAGACCTGAGTGGGAAAGTAAGTAAAAAGTGGGACAGAGACTGGCAGAGAATGGCAAAGTAGAAAGAAAAGGATGGGTATCTTGAATTACAGCAAATATGGCGAAATGTGAGGTAGAGATTGTGTGGAACATTGTAATGGATATACTATAATAATAAGCTGTAGTCAGGCAGCACTGATTAAATGGAAAGTGCTCAGGAGGCTGAAAAACAAGCAAGGTGTTCCCCAGGGCTCTGTGTACGGGCTTCCCCAAGTTTGTTTTTCTGCTCAACCTAAAGCTCACTGTCAATGCTCTCTAAATTTGAGTGGTTTCCTATTTCCTCATGAAAATCATACCAAAACACAGCGTACATATAAACTACTTGAGTAACTGTACTTCTTTACTATATCTAAAATATATTTCTGTTAATTTTTTTATTACAGAATCTGAATATCTGTACTCTTCAATTTCTTTCATAATGTAATTTAGATCTTCAAAGTACAAATAACAATTCACAGGTCTGCATGACTTAATTTTTTTTTCCATTTTACTGAAATAATCTAATCCAATTAATAACAGGTTACTTTTCAAAATATAAAAATTCCTTTACAATATATAATTGCGCATTAAACTTACATCAAAAACTAAATCTACATTCTAGAAGTTCTGGAAAATCTTTGATTTCTAGAGCTAACAAAAATATATTCGTTTTAAATAATTAAGTGCAAATAAATTAAACATTTTGTATCCGCTTGTATGTTTTTGACTGGATATTCTGACCTATACGGAGTAAAATTTTGACACATTACTCATATTCCTAATTAACACCCCTTCCACTGTCCACATACAATGAAATGTACGTAGGCCTACAATTTATTTTATTCAACCATGAGAGCACCTTGGAAGTACCTTCCAAACAAGCAAGTCATTAAGTGGCTATTATCCAGACTGTCAACAATTGCAAATGCTTAACCATGTTAGCAGTTCAAGAACGCATGTATAGCAAATTAATCTGGGAAACTTTAGGTCATTCCCTCACCAAGAACAGCCATCAGGGATGCTGTAGGTTCAACTCCATTTGCTTATTACGCTGATGTGTGGTGCTTTTGTGCATGCACTACTACACAGAGGGAGTTCTGTAGATAACAAGCAACAAGTTCTTAAGTCTGTATTAAATAGGTATAAGCTACAAGTTCTGCATCCATCTAAATACAATGATGGCTCTGAACATTGTACTGGAGGGCTGCACACTTTGGCTGAGGACAGGAAACATTACTCACATTCTGGATCTCAAACAAACAGATCCAAGAACCCGGGCTGGGATGAGTCACATGAACGCTGCCTCCTCTCTCCGCTCTATCAACAGTGCCTGTCACTGACATCATCAGCTTCTTTGCCATCTGTCAATTACCCTATGCCACTTCCTGCTCACTGAACTAAGACAGCCTATTCGAGCACTGAAAGTACTGAACTTGGTAATGGGCAGCACCCAAATACGCATTACAGTCTTGTGAGGAGTAGCAGCTCCAGCTTCTCCACTCGAGCTTCACTGTCGTAAATGCAAAATCTAATGTCTAAACAAGAAGAATTTGAACTGTAACTAAGAGAACATCACAAAAGACTCAAAGGTTTTAATTACGACCATGCAAACACAATGAGCACAATTAACATTTTATATCATTGCAACAACAGCCACTAGCAAGTGCTGTGCTTTACAGAAACTCTACATGTGTGGTGTCTAATAGCTAGACGCCCCTCGTAGTCGCTGGCTTGCTCCTTAATCCTTCTACCTAATAAAGCTGAAGCTAATTGGCTGACCTTCACTGCAGACCACTGATGTAGAGTCATTGCTGCATTACTCCGTAACACTAGATCAATGATTATCTAAAGCATTAGTAAGCCCAAGACCCTAAGGGCATTTGTGTGTTTCGAATACGTCTGGCTATTAATCTGACCTCTTAACATGTCCTTTTCTTCAGTAATCCTTATAAGTGCTGAGAAAGTTCTTTCTTGGTAAATATGGGTATTTCATTCATCTCTTTGAAGTCATTGTCTACGCTTTATTCTTGCAAAATGAAATTATTTCAGGTCAACCTTTAGGTCACAATGGCCTTGCTGTTTACATACTGTAACAACCATTCTGTGGAAAACGACCTCTGGCTCTTTTCATTTCACTGAACTTTCTGTTAAAGTGGACTAAAATGCTTCCATCCTAGAAAAGCAGTCCAAAAGTCTATGGTTATGTTACTTAATGACTAGTTTAGTGACATACAAAATCATTCCTGAACTGAAAAACCCCTACGTTTTTTGACCCTATGTGGATGACAGACAAGAAAACAGCATTAATAATTATGAAGGTCTGTAAGAAAGAACATCAACTTATTGCAAGATCACAATTCCAAGGCGCAAAAGCTTTTCTCTTGTGATTAAAGATCTACTGTCAGGTGATTTCACAGGTGAGGATGTGTGAATCAAACGATCTGTAATCTGTAAAAAGATCTGTAATGCTGACCAGTGGGCTCAGAGTTGTACTTAAGTATATGATGTACTGAAAATAATTTCAATTCATAAGGAATGTGAATAACAGAATCCTGAAGTGATGGTTACATCAAGGGTTCCAAACCAGGCTGCGGAAGTTCTAAACCCTAAATGGGACACATGTCTGAAAACAATGCAAAAAGCAAATAATAAAATGTGAATAATCATATTATTCACAGTACTTCTAAAAAGAGACGTGAAAATGTTGATAGGCTATCAAATCCAGTATGTTAAATGGAACTTTTGCTCTGTGTTTACCAGAATCTGGACAGATGTCAATATGGACAGCTACCCTCAATCTCTAAAGATAATATTACAATGTTTCAATGTTTTCTTTTAAGAAAATTTGTTAATTTTACTATAGACACTTATAGTAGCATGTTGGGTGGCCACATCTGATCTGGGTCCTGAAGCAAAACCAGTGGAAGGGCTGCTACACCCTGATGCATCCTGTAATCTAGGCTGGTAACTAAAAAGGTTGCAAGTAAAACCTTACAAGGATCCATAAAGTACCACAACTGTGACCTTGATCACGTCACAAACCATCAGGCATATCCGAGAGAACTGAATGTGTCATAACCTGTAGGAACTGCAAGGACACAGGCTGTTGTTCACTTGGTGAGGGGTCTATCGCACTCTATTCCACGATCTGAATTACTGTTATACTTTCGTTTGAAAAGACCAGATCGAGTACGATTTACATTACCAAACTCTTAACAACTCACAGGTGTGTTTCTGCTATTACCTTAATGATGCTGCTCCTCCTCGGCGCCGCTTTCACCGACTCTAGGAGAGCCGCCTCATCGCGCTCCACCAGCGGCACGCTGAGTCCACTCCGCCGGCCTGATCGAATCGCTCTCGGTGGGATGAAGTCCGGAGCTCCATCCCCGCACACCCCGTCCTCGTAAGACTCCGACATCTCCAGTATCAGGATTAGTTGGTTGGGAAATCAGTATTATTTCACTCTGTATTTGGACCCAAGAACATCCACATCCAACTCTTGATATGGGTCTGTGGGTGTGGGTAGCTCCGGTAGTCCAATTTAACTTAATTGCGCAGGCTGTACGGCAAATTGAGAATGGATCTCGTTCCTTGAGCCCATCCTAAAGCAACTTTTACCAGTCACACAGCTCGAAGAACAAATGATATGTATAATAACTGGCTCATGAATCATTCTCTTGCGCAAGAGAACACTTGCATCACCGCGCAACAAGTTAAAAAGCACCCCCGGTTCCTAACTTCTCTCACTTATCCAGCGCGCGTCAAACAATCTGTATCTAACGCGTGCAAAAAATGCACATTTGTTCACAGATACGCAGGAGAGCGGAGGGATTGCGGGTCACCAAATAATATCAAGCATCAAAACAACACCAAATGTGCGCGTTCTGTGTCAGCATGGTGGAAAAGAAACGCCGGAGTACTGGTGGTTGTGAATGTTGTTCGCCTCATCTCATTGTGTGTTGTTTGGTTAGTCAAGAAAGAGGAACGCCACTGACACTGGCACAACCTCTTAGATCCGCTAAGCCCGCCCCTCGCGTCCGTAAGCTCTTGATTGACGGGTGTCGTGACCAATCAGACATTCCCAATTTTCATAAACTCTAATCGCTCATCTTTCAAAGAGGAGGAGCCAGTGCGTATGAGCCTCAGGAATGTTACTCATTTGAGTTTACCAGATGTTTGGGAGAACAGAAGGTTGGGGTGTCACTTTTCCGAAGCAGCTATTTTGGGGATGAAATATTGACGATTTGGTGTTGTGTATCAAAGCATATATCTTACTATTTTTGTAGGCAGCGTTCAAAATGTGACAATTATCTTCACTTGATAGTCATTGAATTAACACATGCTCTATTGTTCATTTGATTTAAAAGTGCAACATTGTCCGGTTTAATTCAAAATAGAGCAAGACATGTTAAAGTTCAACATACCTCCTGAGTTGTTGTTATGAGACAAACAAGAACTTTTTTTTTTTCCGAAAATTGGAAATGTAGCCTACAACAAACAATGCATCAAGATACAAATTAGACTAAACAGCAGGGTTATTATATTTAACTTAAAAAAAAAACATCCATTACTTGAAATAAAATAAACGTTTACTTAAATAAAATAAAATATTAAAAACTTAAACTTTTTTTATTTCAGCTAGGCAACATTTCTCATTTTCATTATCTTGTAGTAAAATAACTAAAACTGAAATAAAATGAATAAAAATTATATAGAGACCTATTTAAAAAAAAACAATAAAAATGACAAAAACAGACAACAAGATTACTACAAATCTGACTACAATTAAAATGAAACCTATTCAAAACATTACACTTCTGAGCAGATACATGAATAACAAAAAAAAATAATATCAATTTAAATAAAATAATACGTCATAAAGCAAAAATTCCAAGGTTTTCTAATAAATTCAATACATTTTAATGGCATGTTTATTCTTCATAAATATTGACAAAAATATCCATTAACAAAAATAGCTTAGCTTATGTATAAAGAATTTTTCCAGGATAAATTTGGTAATGATAATAATCATTATTCGTTCCTGAGTCTGTAAAGATTAAAGTGAGATTATTTATCAGTGACAGTACCTGACAAAATAAGTGTCTTTCAAAGGCCTTTATAGCCGCTATAGCAGGTTTTGCTATGAATATTCTCCACTATTAGATGTTGCCTACTTGTTGAAGACAGACAGCAGGACCACACTAACATGAGGCCTTTAACACTTCAATGATGAATGTAATCCTAAATGATATCTGGACCATCCTCTGTGTGCCTGATGTGTGTGTAGAACACATGACAAAGGCATGAGAATATGGTTCATAAAACTCGCACAGAAATGCAGAGTAAAAAAACATTGTGAAAACCTTGCGATGAGCCAACTGATGTTGTTCGAGATCCAAGTCCTCTGTGAAATGTAGACAGAACCCGAGGGTCATTAGCATAGGGCTAAGAACTCTAACACCTTTCTGTAGCTTTTCCCCTTGCGTCAGGTTGTCATGGTTAAACTAGACCCTCTCTGTGAGAAGAGTGTCATTAAAAAGAGCTTTAATATGCACTTTAAGACTGATTAGTGTTTTAACATCATACTTTACTTGCCACACCTTAAATGTTTAGCACACTGGGTAGCAAAGGAGGGTTATGAAATGGTTAGGATTAGAAATACTAGAGTTTAAAAATGGGGCTTGTTTTAGTCAGCCCGTTCAGCCAAAAGCAGACAGTTGGTGTAAGATGTTGAATGTGTGTGTGTGTGTGTGTGTGTGTGTGTGTGAGTTAACAGTTTATGAGGTAAAGAGGTTTGAAAACTAAATCTTCTCATAGCAAAGCAAGTTCACACCCAACTTAATATTTGCCACATTATATCTATGTATGTTACCTCTTAGAATGTGTTAGTGTCCACTAATATTAATTATTGAACAATATGTGGGGTATTTCTGTTAAAAAAAAATCATATAAACTAATATTTAGTTTAATATTGTCTCGCTATCAGCTACAAAGATAATGTTCAGTGTCTGTTTTTCTGTAATTTGTTTACATTTTAGAACCAGGTTAACACCTAACACAGCACATTTATATGATTACGGTTAGATTTGAGTCCACTATAATAACGAAAATGTATGTCCACGCGTATCTTGAAATATTCCAAAACATACAGCAGTATTCACGGAAGTGTGTGATCATAAATAGTTTTTCACTTAAGAACTAGCACTTATGTGTAGGCTATAACGCCCTCAAGTGTATAACGTGAATTACTACAACGATTTAAGAACCTTAACTTTAACGTCAGAAAAAAATGAACAAATACACAGTTTACTATGAAAATATGGCACATCTTGTAGGCCTATGCTTTTGTGTTTTAGGATCCCTATATAAATCGTTTACCTGGTAGCATTGTCTTGTAAACTTTTTAATATTTCAGTGTTTACACACTTCGTCCAAAATAAGAGCTTGTTATTGCTGGAGAGCGCAAGCGAGTGTGAGAGGTGACAGATGTGTGTCAGGGTCGTGTTGCTCTTATCTCTGTGTCCTTCACTCCTTAGCTCTGCTTCTTTGCTCCCTGGTCGGTGTAGAACGAGATAACAGCAGGTGCAGGTGCAGCCTATCTCAAGTCCTTTATTGCTTCGATTGTATTTCAAAACAAAGTCAAAATCAAAATGTTCACTATGTGTTTAGAGGTTTTGAACGAACGTTGTCTATGCACTACACAAAAAGCTTTAAGAAAGTTGAAAGTATTTTGAAGGCAACATTATCTGAAACAATCTTTATTGCATTATTGCTTCTTATCATTTAAAATCACACAGAATCGTAGTTTCTATCAGTGCTGTTTATTTCTTATCTCTGCTGTTTCAGGTAGGTTGCTCTGTCATTTTTATCTGCACTTTACATCTCCTCACATTCAAAACTGACTTGCTTTTCTCGTGTTGGATCAAACGCTCTCAAGTGCTTCACGGAAAATCGTGAAAAGAGCAGCTGGTTACGAACTCTCACGTTTTCACTATAGAGGGAAGATGCTGCAAACCTTAAAGAAACCAGAATTTGTATTATATTTTAGCTGTCACAATATTCAGTCATAACAGTCATGTTTAACTTATAAATTTCCTCTAGTTTTGTATGGTGAACAAATTTAGCTTAGGCCTACCACTTTAATTGAACAGATGCGTCTAGTGCTACATTTTTCATTTAAACCGGTTTCAAGACACTTTATAGAATTTCCATCCTTGCTTTACATTGTCAAAGAGAAATAATACAATTATTCATATGAATGATGGTTTGGGAAGGAAAAATAGCCATTACATTGTATTCTTTAATAAAGCAATTACACATTTATTTTTAATAATTATAGAATAAAAATGAAATAAAATGGTAAGTTATGAAAACATTTTCGCTAGAGGGAATATGCTAAAACTATTTTAGCTGTACTATTCAGTCCTAATAGTCATGTTTATAACCTACAGACAGACATGTTGAAATTTGAAAAAAAAAAAAATGGTGAGGTCCAACAGCAAATGACAATATCTGGATTTCTGGATTTTACACAGTATGTTTTGATACATTCTATAATATCGATATTCAGACATTCAGTCGATATTCAGTTTAATTCTTTATCACAGTCGGAGACCCATGCACTCTCAAAAAATCCACAACAAATTCTATTACACAATGAGATGAGTGAAAATTCTAAACAGACATGATTGTTAATTTTTTTCTATTGAATCTACATAATCACATGAAATTAAATTGGAATTTTAATTTATAATGCTAAACATTTTTTAAATCACTATTCAATACAGGATTATTACATGTGTTGAACGCTAGATGGCGCTGTGTCACATGTATTGGAGAAGAGACCTGTAGCGATCATTTGCAAAACTGAATTCGCTCGTTCATGAGGCAGTTTAATGACCTTTATGTGTCCTTAAGAAGTCCAGTTTCAATTTGTATTTTCTGAATGATAAATCAAGCTAAGCAATCTAAGCAATCTCATCTCATAAGATGGAATAAGATACCATTCAATCGCTAAATCAAGTACAAAGAAATGCCAGTTTAAAATAAATGCTGAAAGCAATCCATCCATCATAGTTTCCAAACCACTTGTCCTATGCCTTCTGTGGGGGGCTTCTTGCTGAGAGGTGACATCGCTTGTGTCGCTCTAACATTGAAAATTATTGTAAAATGTTACATTTGATTCTCTCCAGAAATGATCTCACTGGAGCGCAGGAATAGATGACTAGGTTGCGTAGAGTCAGGATTATGTGTCAGAGCGACCGATGTAGGCCAGTTTAATCAGGAACAGAGGTGGGATTATAATGTGGAGTGATGTGTATCAGTCTGTATTTTGGGATGAAAATGTCGAGACAGATGAGAAATGAATAGTTAGTGTAATTTTTGGAAATACTCGTTTGAAAATAAATAATTAGTGTTTTACATTTGCATACAGTTTTGTGTCAGTTTAACTACTTACTGTAGGTTTGCTTCCTTATGCTGTCTGTTTAAAGAAGGCATGGGTTTCCTTCCCAGTGTCCTCTGGGTGTGGTCCCAGAATGACAGTGGTTTCCGGTCTAGGACCCAGACTTGGTTTTCAGTGTTATTTCTGAGCACTGACTAAGAGGCACACGGGCACACAGATGTGTGACATACTGTCGAGATTGAAACTGATGTTTCTGAGTCTGGCATGATATATACAACTAGATAAAAAAGTTTGTCAAGACAAACTTTGAAGTTGGCTTGAGAAAGCTAGTAGATATAGATAGATAGATAGATAGATAGACAGACAGACAGACAGACAGACAGTAGTGAAGTATTTTTACTTTGCTGTAAAAGTACTTTTCAAGTGTCAGTAATCTATCAGTGTTTTTCTTTAGAAAACTTTACTTCACAACATTCCAAAGCATAATATTGAACTTTTTACTGCACTACGTTTCATATTAGATATAATTTAATACTTAATTATATTACATTTACATTTAGTCATTTAGCAGACGCTTTTATCCAAAGTGACTTACAAGTGAGGAC